TATTTCCAAACTAGCTAGGTACAAATTAAATATTGGACCTAAGTTTCGAACCTCTGACCTCCAAATTAAAATATAATAAACACATGTTCTTACCATTCCTCTATAAAGCATTTTAAATTTAATTAAAAACTTTTAGTTTTTATTTCTAAACTAGCTAGGTAAAAATTAAATATTGAACCCTCTAAAATTTGGGGGCCCTCTAAAATATGGGGGCCCTGTGCGGTAGCCCAGCTTGCACAGCCTAAAATCCGGCCCTGTTCGAGAGCCAACTGCAGCTTATAATATGAATCCGCAAGTTTAATTTTGTTAATCATATATACTTTATGAGACTCAATTATTTTTTGCTACATTTTAAAAGCATGATTGACAACATCTAAAAAATAAAACAAATCTTATTTAAGAAATAATTTTAAGATATAATTAGTTTATTCATAAATAATACGGAGTATGAAACAATCTTGCTCTTAACATATGCAAACCACCGCTCACGTAAAAACTGTAAATTGATCTTAACGATTGTAAAGTGTACTGATCAATACTATATGTAAAGTGCATTTCTCTTAAGTATACTTTTACGTACATATCATCCAATAATGCACTTTGTAATTATTCAAGATGCACATACTTTCAAAGTTTGAAATATTGAAATTGATGGAATTGCAGGAAGTCTCTGACTACTTCAAAATATGTAAAGTATAGTAGGTGTAGAGGATGGATGGAAATTTGCATCGATCCACTCTCACACTTCTTGTTGTGTCTTCTCCTACTCCACACTTGTTCTGCAGTCCAATCATTGCAGGATCTTGGGAGATGTTTTCATGGGGCGTTATCACACAGTGATTATAAGTCCTCTTTTTGTGTAGCGTGGAAATCCAAATCAGAAGATTGTGAAAAGGAAATACAGGAATGGCAGAAAGAGATATCCGCTGCAACAACAACCATTAGCTCGAGGGACCTTGGGTAGTATTAACTCTAATCATTTTCTTTTGAGTTCACTAGGGATGCTAAGCAAATATTGTAGGCAGTCGCCTTATTTGCATCTATACTTGCCTTTATATGTTTGTTAGGAACTTCTGAAAAAGATAGCTCCTAGATGGATTAATGAAGAAGGACCCTGAAGCTGATAAAGCTTTTGGCTGGGTACTCTTTGTCTTGCAAGAGGTAAAGTAGTCCCAAGTGTTTGTTTTCTTGTTGTTTGTGTGAATTTCAGCTTTTAGGCCTTAGTTTTACATTGATTTTGGGTATTGAACTTCTGTGATTGTTTGGATTCCCAGGACATTTTTCTTGCTTTGAGCATGAGGATATGTTATGTGGTTGATAAAGGTTATCACAATATTACATCTTTAAGTAATTTATTTTAATTGTTAACATTTAGAATTTGTAGTTTATTTGTAGTAAAATGTTATTAGAATTGAAATTTTAGATTGGTGTGTTTTAGTTGATAGAATTGGTGTGTAGTATACATCTTAAATTGATTAATGTTGAAATATATTATTTAAGAGTTATGCTGGGATGTACAGGAAAATATTGGTAGTTTTATAAAAAAAAAATGTTTTTTTAAAATTTTTTTTACTATACGCGTCCAAAGTTCAGATACTTTGGACGCGTATAGTATTTTTTTAAAAATAAATAAACACTGAACTTTGGACGCGAATAATCATTTTGCGCGTCCAAAGCTACTTTGGACGCTGATTGTTTATACAATCAGCGTCCCCGACATCTGCGTCCCAGCTACTTTGAATGCGAATTAGCCTTAACTTTGGACGCGAATGATTGTTTCTGTACTAGTGTACACAGCTTCCCGCGGGCCTTACAATGGAACTTTTTGTAGTTCCGCAGGATCTGATCACAATATCCCTGTATGTGGCAACTTAGCAAGAAAGAAACTCTCAAGTGCTTGCAAAAAACCAAGCATTTCAAATCCAGCTCTATAATAATCACTTACAAACAAGAATGGTTGATGAAACTGATAACAAATTATGAAGGACACAAATTCAAAAATATGAACCTGTAAGCTATACTATACTCCCCAACTTGCGATCCTCATGAGGAGTTAACAAATTGGAGAGAGAAGGTTTGAGATCATCTGCAAATGAGGAGTTATTTCAGAAATGTGAGACCCATTGAAAAAAAAATTCCACCCCGCCAGTGCTTGCGTGAGCGTCACCACCGCACCCAGCGGGCGCATAAGGCGTGTCTGACAGTTATTACGTTATTATTATTATTATTTTTTAAAATTAGTTTTGCTTTATGTTTTTCCTCTCTCATCCCATATATATTCTCTTTTCTAATCACACTTACAAAAACTGCTCAAAAACCACAAAAAAAAATAATAATAATGATCAACCATTGTGGATGCTTTTAGTTTAGGTTGGAAAATACTACGTGTACTCCCACACACACAAAACTTTGATGTAGACACTTGTATTGGGACCCACATGAAAAAAATAGCAAAAATGCTACATGTACTCTCAAAAACATACTCCGTACTTTTACTCCCACTTGTGTTCAAATTTGATTGGAGGAAGAAAAAAAAGAAATGAATAAACATCATGGCCCCCTATAAAATTGAGCAATCAAAGCATGCCAAATCATAGGGGTACAAAATGGGAGTAGAAAATGGGAGTACATGTGAATTACTCAAAAAATAGTTTATCAGAATCCGCCACATCAGGGAGTAAAATTTAAGGAGTAAAATTAAAGAATACATGTAGTAGAACTCGTTTAGGTTTTTCTTAATTTTTGTGAACCCACTATTTTACTCCACTATATTTTAATTATTTCTTTATTTATTATCATTATAAAATTATAATTACAATTATTATTTTTATTATATTTAAAAATTTAAATTAAACAAATCAAAATTAATATAAAATTTTAATTATAAATGTTTTAACCAAAAAAAAATGAAGATGTTAAATTAGGCGGGCGTTGCTATATAACGACCACAAAAGAAAATACAAACCCATTTCAGAGTGGTCACCACTCTAAAGCGCCGCAGCGGCCACGTGGGAAGCACACTCCCGATGGGGCACGCTGCGCTCCTGACACTGGTGTGGCCACACCCATGGCCAGAAATGCAGGGCACACTGCCCAGTGGTCACGTACGGTTGATTCTGTGCACTGTGTTCACCTTCTAGGCAATTGTTTGTCCTCAAAATCTTTGAATTAACGTTTGTGATCTTCATCAAAGTTGTAGCCCTTCAAGTTAGCTTTCCAATGACATAACACTCACTTGATTTGGACATTCCTATGCAGAGATATGACCAAAATATCGAACAGTGGACAGTTTGTATCGGAATTTCAACTTCTTGCTCTTTTGCTCCACTTTTGCCTTTGTTTGTCCAAATGACCAAGACCACTAAACATAACATAATTTGTCTCTCTAAAAGGTGTTGCTCCAATCTTCATATAGCTTCTCAATTGCTCCCATTTGACTCTAAATGCATCTGAAATGTCCAAAAAATCATTCAATTCATCTAATTTATCAAGAATTATACAAACACACAAATGAATCAAATGAGGGATACTTTGCGCAAAATTATAACAAATAACAAGGAAAATAAACTTAAATGCAAGGTAAAAATATGAACATTTTAGCACTTATCAGGTGTTCCTCTCTTTCAGAAGCCAGGGAGGGTTCGAGGCGCCACAAATACATCAAATCGCAACGGTGCTTGAGAGGAGCGGCCACAGGTTCTTATGGTTCATCCGCCGGTCGTGGTCCTTAACCAGCTCCGAGAGAGCTAGCGACTTCACTAGTTTCGACCCGATTTTTCCGACGGGATTCGCGAAGAGGACGAGAAACAGGGAGAAGGTTTGCTAGTGGGCCGCAAGTGGTAGTTCTTGCCCATAGCGCCACGGCAGAGTTCTTATCCCACCGCGGCTGTAACTCCATTCTAAGCTTTGCATAGAACTCCATCCCCATGAATGCCTTTCTCAATCTAATTTCCTCAGCTTTCCTTAGCTCCATTATCGGCCCGAACGGTTGTACTTCAGTTAGAGATTGATCTCTTCTAAATGTTCTTCAAATTAAAGTGGAGATATATAGGAGTTTGAGGTTGGATATTGAGTCTTACTTAGTACGAAATGAAAATGAAATGAAATCTGTGAGGTTAGTCCTGTCTTCAATCCTCCTTAATTGTGTTTTGATCATCCATTGTTGCATCCATTTGTGACTTAGCTTCAATGAGACATGGACAGGAGAGCAATTAAAAATCAGAACAGAGAGCTTCTCATCTGATCTCTTTATAATAATAATAATAATGTAATGACAGGAATAAATTAAAACCTCAATTATGGTTGGTTTGAGTTTTCTTTATCTTATTAACTTGTTTTCTGCTACTGGTAACAACGTTGACTGCAGATCAGAATGGGCGCCATTGATATGAATGCTTGAATCCATACTTGTCGAGAGCCAACTGCGGCTTAATTATAATATGAATCAGCAAGTTTAATTTTGTTAATCAGATAGATATACTTTATGAAACTCAATTATTTTTTGCTACATTTTAAAAGCAAATCATGATTGACAACATCTAATTAAAAAATGAAACAAATCCTATTTGAGAAATAATTTTAAAATATAATCCGTAATTGGTTTATTCATAAATAATATGAAAGAATCTTGCTCTTACCATATGCGAACCACCACTCAATGATCAACACTACAAAGTGCAATGATCAATAAACAAAGTGTATCCAGTAATATGTGAAGTGCATTATTTCTCTTAAGTATACTTTTACATATCATCGATTGTACTTTGTAATTATTCAAGATGCATTTTCAAAGTTTGAAGTATTGAAATTGATGAAATTGCAGAAATTAAGTCTCTGACTATTTCAATATATGTATTTGAAATACAGAAAGTATAGTAGGTGTAGAGGATGGATGGAAATGTGCGTCGATCCACTCTCACCATTTTTCGCTTCTTCTTATTCTTAATTTATGTCTGTTTTGTTGGATAAAGTAGCTAAACTAACTTCATGCACATCATATGCCAAGAAAAACAGTTAAAGGAGAAATTAAACTCCCAAATTAATATATGCTGCAACATTATCTATCTTCTGTTCTGTTGTGTCTTCTCCAAACTACATGCACTTCCAATACCAGTGCCTGCAAAAAACCAAGCATTTCAAACTACTTTGATCAAGTTAAATTGTAACTATATATCAACACAAACAAAACTAGCTAGCTAGCTGCCCATAGATGAGATGATAGCAGAGGATGGTAATCTGATCAGCATCCTCTCTCACCTTCTTCAGCATCCATTATCTTCATCCCAACAAAAACATTTAAGGACAAACTCTGGAATGATGCTGCTGCAACATCTTCTTCTCCAACCATAATTCTTCTGCTCTTCTTCTTCTTCTTCTTCTTCTTCTTCTTCTACATTACTTGCTGAAGAATCATCACTTTCTTGTATGCCCATTAATCTAATTTCATTTTCTGTTGTTCCATCAATATCAATTTGTAGAAAGCCTCTTGTGGATGGAAAGAAACGCACTTCTCCATCTGAGTTTCTATGTAATTCAAATAAACAATAAAGCTGCTGCATCTTCTTCTTCTTCTGCAGAGGTGGATGGAAATGAGCATACACCTCCAATACTTCTCCAATCCCCCTAATTGTTTCCACCTCAAATTCTTTTTCCTTAAAGAAATTATACTTCTGACGTTCCTTTACCATCAAATGAGCAACATTGGTTTTGCTTCTCACACTAACACCAACTCCATCAAACTCCTCATTACCATCAAAACCACTATTAATGATGTTAATGGGTGTATGCCCCAAAAGTCTTGGAATCCTGCAACATACATAACCTCTGCCGACATTTAGCGAAATCTGGACAGTATTACCTTCAGAACGTGCCTACATCATCATCATCATCATCATTATTATATAACCAAATCAGATAAAGATGAGGAAGGGGAACATAACTTAACAAACCTGGAACCAATTTTCAATCGAAGGAATTCTCAAACCACTGCAATTTGTTATATCAACACATTCAAGACTCTCCCATCTTGGAAGCTCAACCAAACTTTTGCAATTGCGAATATACAACCATTCCAGTCTTTTCAAGTTTTCTATTTTTTCCAATGACACACAGTTTTCTGCAGAGAGATGCTCCAAACTAAGAGGAAGTTGTAGCAATGCTCTTAGATTTTGCCAATCATTCAATTTGAGACGTTTCAAATTAGAAAGATGAGAAAGGCTGAAGGGTAAGCTTTGAAGATGATAGCCACACCCCGATAAATCTAAAGATTTCAATGAGGTCAAACTTCCAAGATCGATTATTTGTAGGCATTCTAGCAAATAGTTATAAGGGATAGTGAGAGCTTTGTGATGTGCTATTTTGAGCTGTTGTAAGGATTCAACACTCTCTAAGCCTGAAAGCTCAACCAAACTTTTGCAGTGCACAATACTCAAACTTTCAAGTCTTCTTAAGTTGGATATATCTGCAATTTTTTCTAATGACTCGCAATCGTATGCAATAAGATCCTTCAAACTAGGTGGAAGTTTTAAAAGTTGTCTAAGATTTTGCAAATCCGTGAGGACGAGCTTTCTCAAATTGGAGAGATGACAAAGGTCCAACGATAGGTTTTCAAGATACCAAATTCCTGATAACTCTAAATCTGTCAATGAGGTCAAACTCCCAAGAGCAATTGGAAGATTTACTTGCTGCTGTGATTTGTTCAAACTCACAGTCAGAGTTTCCAATGAGCATAAATTCACAGTTGAAGATGGAAAAAAATCAACAGCTACTGAACCCACAAGCACTCTCAGATTCAGTGACAATAGACTTCTCAAACATCCAAAAGAAATGGGTAAATGTGAGATACCAGCTTCTCTAGCATCTAATGTTCTTAGTTGCTCTAATTTTCCAATGTCAATTGGAAGCTCCCTCAGGTTCTTGCAACCATGTAAAACTAACCCCTCAAGAGATTTTAACTTACAAATGCTACTTGGAAGCACCTTCAATTTCTTGCAACCCCAAAAATCTAACTTAACAAGCCTCTCCAAACTTCCAATTGATGGGTGCACATTTGCCAAATTTGAACACCATCCGAAGCATATTTCTTGAAGACTTTGTGCCCCAGTAAAGTCTGGTGTACTCTTAAGTTGTTCACAAAAACTGAGCTTTAACATCCTCAAGCATAAAAAATGCTGTTAAAATAAAATAGAGAGGTTTTAATGCATTTCTATTTTTTAGTCAAAGTTCTTAGAAAATATGCAATGTTAAAATAATTAAGTATTAGACATACTAACCTGCATATTGGGTTGAAATTCTTCGATATTGCTATAGCTCAAGTCTAACACAACAAGTTTCACACAATGAAAATCTGATTGTATGTGACTCAAACGGCAATTACGCAACCTTAAAAGCCTAATCTCATTGGACAAATATTTAAAAGATCCTGTAAGAGACACACTATCTAATATGAGTATTCGCAAATTTACCATCCTTGTGAATACTTCCATACTCAAAGGCACATTCTTTAACATGTTAGAGTTTATGATCATCCCTTCAATTGCTTTTGTGCCCTAAAAAAGTGTTTGATGTAGCAATATGTTAGATACTCTAAAATCTTTCATATTTTAAATAAATCTAAGTATTACAAGCAAATGAACTAGATTAATAACTCAAGTACAAATTAAATGAAATGTTTTACCTTGTTGCCTTGTAGAACATCAAAAATATCATTTGGGTCCACCAATCTACTTCGTTCGCCAGGATTTCTTGGAGATTCCTTTCGAATAATTTCTCTTCCCATATCCCGTACTAAAGCATGCATCTTAAGCTTTTCAAATCTTCCATCTCCATCTATTGTTAACAAACATCTTTCTATCAAACTTCTGATTCCACTTTTAGCATGAAAGTCACAAGCTTCCAATATCATAGCAGTGTGTTTTTTCTCATGCCCAACAAAAAAACAAGCAATATCAAGAAAGATGTTTTTAGTATCACTATCAAGTGCATCATAGCTTATTTCAAGAATTGTTTGAATATCGTCACGAGGATTGCTTCTTAATTTCTCAACATCTTCGAACCACTCTTGCACCGATCTTCCATGCAAATGAGAACCTATAATGGTAAGTGCTAATGGAAGTCCCCCAGTATAACTTGCTATCATTTTGGATACTTCAGTATACTCCTCTAATACTATAGGAACACCAAAAGCATGCCAACTTAAGAGTTGCAAGGAATCATCAATGCTTAATGTTTTAACCTTGTACTTCTCTTGTGTTCCAAGCTCACTCAACAAGTGAAAATCTCTAGTTGTTATTATAATTGTACTACCTGACCCAAACCAATTTCGCTGACCTGCTAATGAATCTAATTGACTTATGTGGTCTATGTCATCAAGAACAATAAGAACCTTTTTGGATCGAAGCCTTGCTTTGATCAAATTTATTCCTTCATCAACATTATCGATTTCAAAATTCTTTCTCTTGAGTGTTTTGTAAAGAAGTTTCTCTTGTAAACCAACTAGACCATTGTGTCGTCCCTTATTAGAAACTTCTTCTCTAATATTTGCAACAAAACAACTACCTTCAAACCCTTGAAAACTCATGGTCAAGTGATTGTATATAGCTTTAGCAAGGGTTGATTTCCCAACACCAGCCATACCAAAAATTCCAATCATTCGAACACCATCATTTGTTTGAATTTGTAATAAATTAAGTACTTGTCTAACATGAGAATCAATTCCAATAGGATGCTTTGCAACATTCATGGGCATAAAATTCAGCACCCGTAGCACTTCTTTAGTAATCACCTCAATGAAATTTGACTCATTCCTGATCAAATATTTAAATTTATTGTATAAAATAATCTGTGTCTATACATTGATTTAAAAAACAAAAAATAAAAATAAGAGGAAGGCGTAAAACACAAAAATAAGAAACCAAATTGAAAACACGACAACAGACATTAAGCCAAAATTAAATATTTTATATTAATTAACCAACAAATATAATTCGTCAATAACAATAACTTGAAAAAAAATTAATATTTAGAGTTAATGCCCAATATAGTCATCGACTATAGTGATTTTACTCAATTTAATCCTAAATAACTTTTTGTGCTCAATTTAGTATTCGACTTTGATGGTTTTACACAATTTAATCCTTTTGTTAAAAATTCTGTTAGTTGGATGTTAGAAATAAGGTCCTTATTATGGTAATTTATTATCATTATCCCATTTGGGATTATTCCTTGTTCTTCCCCTTATTAAGCTCCATGCAAAAATGGAGATCTTCATGCTCAAATCAACTTCAATTCTAAATAAATAAATATTTACCTTCCAAAAACCTTGTGGTCAAGCGGTATGTAAGTGACTCTCTCAAATGGGAGGTCATGGGAGTGGGGGCGCGCGATATTCACTTATTGGGTGATATTGACTTGTTGGGTTTCACTAGGTTGAAAAATATATGAATAGATACTACATGTAACAGGGTCAATAGTATTCAAAAAAAAAATATTTACCTATAAGTTTTTTTAAATAGTTTTTTTTTTTAGTTGGATTTGCGTACGAAGATTTACATTTGGGATGAAAGATGAGAAATTATCATTAAGACCATATTTTTAACAGTTAACTAACAAAATTTTTAATAAAGGACTAAATTGTGTAAAACCATCAACGTCGAGGACTAAATTGAGTACAAAAAGTCATTTAGGACTAAATTAAGTAAAACCACTATAATCGTAGACTATATTGGGTTTTAACTCTTAATATTTATGTATAATCAATAAATTAATACTCCGTATAAAAATTAATTAAAAAGCACAGTTAGAAGATGCAGATTCTTCACGTTCAATTATTGTTTAAAATATGAATTTACTATATGATCGAGTAAATAGGTCAGGCAAATATCCAAAAATAAAAGGAAATCAAAAGAGTTAGGATTACCCATTTGACATAGTTTGCAAATCCCATCCAGACAAGTTAACAGCTGCAGTGAGCGCATCTTTCCACTCATTAACTTTCTGATCCCCAAATCGTTGTTTGTGTAGAGCCAATGCATCACCAAAGGTGCTTGTATGTTTACCAACTTCTGAAGGATCAACATGGTAAAATATGGGATAAACAATCTGATTCAACTTTTGTTTACACTCCATGATCTTCACAAGCTCATTCAGACACCATCTGGATCCGGCATAGTCTTTGGAGAATACGATGATGGATATCCTTGACTCTTCTATGGCTCTAGATAGCTCAACAGAAATATCCTTTCCTCTCCGGATTGATTCATCATCCCGGAAGATGTTAACCCCAGCTCGCCTTAAATCTGCATAGAGATGATCGGAAAATGATCCTCGTGTCTCGCCCCTAAAACTCAAGAAAACATCATACGTCATGCAAGCATACGATGAAGATGAAGATGAAGATGAAGATGAAGATGATGATGATGATGCCATACTCGATCGAAATCTGAGTATACTATATGCCTTTGGAGCTATGAAGTAAAGATTTGTGTTAAAGAACTTTGAAAACGCGTGTATAGTAGCAGATCAGCAGCGATGACTTAATTGGTCTTCTTAATAATTTCCCACTACAGCGTACCAACCCAATAATTCTACATAACGGGACCATCCACATATAATGCATCCTTTTCCTAGACCCCACCTATTTACCATCAATCATGTTAAGTGCTCATGCTTTTTTCCTTATATTAGTGTCACATTTGAAGTATAAATAAAAGAAGATAAAAACACTAAACTAAGAAATCAAATTGAACAAACCAGCACTAAACATTATAAGCGCAGCTCTATTATATTTGACATTTTGAGATACCTAATTAATAAGTTTGTTTAAAATTGAAATTTTAAAAGTTAGTAACTACGTACTACTAGCTTAATTGTTTTAAAAGTGTCACATGTAATTTTTTTTTCAAATTTAATTGTTTTTTTTATAATTTTAAAATTTACATAATTCAAATGGTTATGTAATATGAACTATTTTTATTCAAATTTTTATATAATACCAAAGTTTTTCGAATATTTGCATGTCATGAAACATGAATTATTCCATATTGCATAAAAATTTATAAATGTCACATGCTTCAAATTTAATGATTATAAAATTAAAAATAAAGTTAAGGTAATATATAATTTAATTAGGCATTATTAAAATGCTACTCCTATATCTTAAGATACCCACTCTAAACTTTAATATGTCACTGTAATGAGTTAAATTAATTGTTTTTTTTTTTTAATTTGTAATATAGCATACTTTATTATAAGTAGTAAAAATGTAAAACTAAATTACTTTTAAAAAAAATCTACTATAATATACAACATATTGTCATTATCACAATGTCACCTAGCTTCCAACAAAATTAACATAGTGGAGAGTGGGGCTAGTACTAAAAACTTTTCAACATAAAGCAATTAATTAAAAGCAATGACGAAGAATGTGGCTAGACTTTTTAATACAAGAATCCAGAACAACATTCAATTAATAATTACTTGTTCTACAATGATCAAACTCTTTTTTTTTTTTCCAAAAAAAAAAAAAAACTCCTTGACTATTCCTCAGTTTAATATAATTTTAAGGTTTGGGGGCCCTTAGGGTTGAGGCTCAGCCTTTTGAAAGAATATAATTTTAAGGTTCTCAAAATAGAATTGTCAACTTTTCCATTGACAGAATAATTGTCATCCAACTAGCTAGGCGAAGAAGCTGGTTTGGTTTCTTCATCCAATCTGATGGAGAAGTCATGGTCAGCTTCTTTGTCATTTTGTTAAAAAATTTAACTGATTTATTACATTTAAATTTTACTAGTTACCTTTAGGTAATCGACTATTATTTGGTTTAATTAAATAAGTCAGTTAATGTGTTTAGTTGTAACTTATTAAAATTCATAAGTCTAATTACATTTTTTTACATAAAGTTCGAGAGATTAACCATTTTCCCTTTAATTTTTTTTTTGTTATTTTTAATATTTAAAATTAATTTATAATTTTCCCTGCTTCTTTCTTGGTGCGGTGGCATCAACAATTCTATCTGTTCTTGGTTCCTTTAGATGAAAACCCCCATAAAAGAAGAGAGCTAGGCATGTCTTCAAAATGAGAATCTTTGACATACCTCCTTCCTTAGCTTATTGATAGGATAGAACAATTGTGAAAAGAATATATATTTTTGTTAATTAAAGAAAATACTTTTTTTTTTTAAGTGATGTAAAATTGTGATAATTTTTAAAGTAAATTTGAATTAGAGAAAATTACATTTTTGGTCCTGTGATGATTGATGTCTCGATTTAAAAACTAACAATTTAGTTCTGTAACTATATAATTTTTAACACATTTGGTCTTCTCGGTCAAATGTTGTCGGAAAAAGGTAAAGCATTTTTAATTATTTATTCATGTGGGCAAAACGATCAATTCACGTTTAAAAAAAAACGAAAAATCATTTGGTTAATTCGTTGACTCGAGCGTTGCTTCGTCCACCATTTTTCGTCGAATTTAATTTTCTTTTTTTCCGGCATAACTCCGGACGTGGAGGACTAGGAAGGCAAGTCGATAGTGACGAGAAGTCCTACAACGACTCCACCGTTTGGGACATGGGAGCCGGACACGTAAGCCCGGAAAAGGCCGTCGACCCAGGACTAGTTTACGACGACGACGACGACAGAAGAGTTCACTACAGTACATACCATACACGTGATAATAAAAGTAAAAATTAATAATAACCATTAATAATAATAACTTTGTATCATTAATAAAAATAAAAAATAATAATAACTATGTAGCCCTTTTTGAAGCAATGAAAAATCGACATACTCATTAGGTAAATGTCTTCTCTCTTCATTGACCACAATCTCTGGAAAACTTTACACAATTTACTTGGCAGTACTATGTGGAATTTGAAACTAATAATAATAATAATAATAATAATAATAATAATAATAATAATAATAATAATAATAATACACTACAGTACACTACACTACGCACACTACACTACATGCCATGCAACACGTAATAATAATAAAAATAAAAATAAAACTAATAATAATAATAATAATAATACCTCGAGTAGTCTGGGTATATTTGTTGTCCTTCAGTTGTAATATCGTGGGACACACTCTCGGCATCTGGTGAGTCGTACGTTGTAATAGTATCAACGTGTTGCATTATTCCTGAATGTAGCCCCATAAACTCCGTATTTGTGGGTTGTTGTGGTGTAGTTGTCACATATATATGCAGTTCCCCAAAGCGTGAAGAGTGGTCAAAAAAATATTGCCAAGACTCATCACTTACTATAGGAAACGGTATATATGTTAATGTTGTATTATCCGTGGATACGGGTAACCTCCCTGTTAAAACCAGTGACGATTGACATTCGCTCATTGAACTCCAGATGACATTTATAATGTCTGATAAAGAAGATTGGTGATGTATGTAAATGCCTTGTGAGGGAGGTAGTGTATATCGAAGCTCATATGGAGTTTGATTGACCGCAATACCCCAGTAAAGTTGTAAAGCCACATAATTTTCACCACCTTCAAACAAAAATATTGTATTATGTTGGTTACAATATGTAAATTTAAAATAAATTAAAAAAAATTGTTGAAATTAATTTTATACCTGCCATAATGAAGCTAACGATGAAGATGGTTGAATGTATATCAAGTGTAAGTGTAAATAAACTGTTGGGAGTAATTTCATACCTGCCATAATGAAGCTAACGATCAAGATGGTTGAATGTATATCAAGAGTAAGTGTAAGTGTAAATAAACTGTTGGGAGAAGTGTAAATAAACTGTAATGTAATGAGCCAAATGAACAACCAAGGTATGTACTCCGTAATATATAGCACTGGATCAGATGAGGAGATGTTAACTTATATTCAAAAGGTTTTCAAACAAATTTTATTGAAAAAGCAAAAAAATTGGGTTGTTTAAAGGGATGCACGCCAGCCACGCCTAGTCACATCAGCCACGCCTAACTTTTATATTAATTTTTTTTAGAGAGCATTGAACGGCTACATCACAGTTTTTTTTATTTATTGAAGGGAGCATTGATTGAATGGATTGAACGACTATATCAACTTTTTTTTTTGAAAGCTGAGCAACTTCAATATAATAAAAACAAAACCTCATTTCTTTTGAGGTTTGGTCAGCCGCGGCAAAACCTCACTACTTTTACTTAAAAAAAAAAAAAAAATAGTCGCCAGAAAACAAAGAACACTGGAGATGAAGAACTCACCGCTAAAAGTTACCGGAGCCACCGGAACCGGAAAGAGAAAGCCTCCTAACAAGTGAAGAATAAGGCGACGAGTAGCTTGTTCTACTTCTTCATCAGTATGCCACTCGTTCAAATCAGGCACTGCTGGTAACGCGGTAGCAAATATTTTTCTCGTCGTAACGACTTCAAGAGGAGGCCAAAAACCCAACAACCTGTCACATTCCTCAACCCATTCATTAGGTAGACGCTTGTCTTTGCCAGTGACGGCAAACCCATCAACCTTCAAACCAAATAACACTTCAACGTCTTGAAGTGTTACACCCACTTCACCAAATGAAAAATGAAAGGCATGCACCTCTGGCCGCCATCTCTCTACAAGTGCTGCGATGAGGCTGTGATCGATATTAATACGAAGACCTAAATGTGCAACACCGTAAAACCCTGCGACCCTGAAATTAAATATGCAATCATTCGGGGCTCTCGAGGTTCATCAATATACATTTTACCGTCATATCTAGATCCACTAAGTTTGGCATTATAGTTTGGGTCGTCCCAAATATGTGTGCATCGATGCCTTGGTTGAAATTCTAGCATAGACTGTTAGGAATAAATTGTAATAGATTTTGATATGTCAAATTGTAAATCGTAGATCCCCAATTTTATTTTGGTTAGACTAGTCGAGTCATAGACCAAGAAAGGGAAAAATAAATTCATTAGTTGAGGAAAATGGATGAAGAAGATATAAAGCCTAAAATCAAGAATTTGCCTAGTGAAAATGGCAAACAGAAGATGAAGATGTATGAAAATATGTACACAAGTTATGAAGACTTTCATCCTAAGAAGAAATCTCTCAAAAGAAATCAAAGAAGAAATCCCGAAGAAGAAAGATCGTGACTTGAAGTTTGCATGAAGCTATCTTGAAGATCAAGCATCTATAGAAAGAAAGGAGTACACCAAGTGAAACAAGATGATGACTAAAAGGTTGTACGGACGAGTTGGTAGAAGCTTGAAATATTATATATAAGGTCACAGGTTTGAATCTCACATTCTACATATTTTACAAAAATCAAGTTTAAATCCATCAGATGAAGTTTGGCCGAAGGGAAGTAGGGATGAGATTTCACTTCTAAATATAGTAAGTGATGAAGTTCACATGGGAAGGCAAGGGAAGTAGGGATGAGATTTCACTTTCAAATATAGTAAGTAGGGATGAGATTTCACTACCAAATATAGTAAGTGAAGTTTGCAAAGTAGGGATGAGATTTCACTTTCAAATATAGTAAGTAGGGATGAGATTTCACTTCCAAATATAGTAAGTGATGAAGTTCAAATGGGAAGGCGATGATTTGGCCGAAGGG